GTTTCAGCATACTCCACGTATTAAGTGGACTTTCAGGCATAATTTGAAAACCTATATGCCACTTTCAACCTCACAGACTATCATATTAACTTGTGCATTAATTTTAGCCCACCTGAGGTTTAGAATAGAGCCACAGGTGTGAACATAAGCTTTTCCTCCCACCATTCACTCCTGAAGCAAAATTGATAAAAAGAGTAACAACAATAGTACTACTGTACACTGACTAAAACTTCTGTCTGCTGTGAAAGGAAAAGTGGTTACTAGTGCTCTCAGGAAATCCAGAGAAATTAAAATCTGATGTTATAGAGTAGCAATGTAGGAAGTTATGTTTAGAAGATTAAGAAAAAGTAGTGGTGAAAATTATTCCTTTTGCCACTCACACTTTGGAATTAATTCTGTAAGACCACAAAATATTATTCTCCAGTTCATAAATATATTCCCTCATAGTGTATGAGTAGACATCACAAGTAGACACATTTTATCTGTTATGAAGAAATGACTGCAAACATACAGATGCAGAGAAGAGCCATACATCATCTGTTATATGTAGTTCCAAAACTAAATCTGTGTGGGAATCTATTGAATATATACAACCAGTTAAAGTTTGCGCTTCAAATACACGCCAAGAATACTCATACTTAAAGAATCCAACTTTTTGCTACCAAAGGCTATAGTTACACAACCCACTGAGATGGAAAAGTTCTGCTGGAACAGCAGAAGGAAATATCCTGCTGTTGCTCCCTATTGCCATAACTAGGATGGTGCATAATATGGAGATAAGGGATATTCATATGACAGACAGCTTAAAAAGCACACTCACTCTTACACACTTCCCTAGTAGAGTTTTTTAGAAAGATTCTAATTCTTTATTTCATTTCTATTTAATGTGGCAACAGATGAGAAAACTCGGGCAGAAATAGTGAACCAGTTACAATTATTAGAAATACCTAAAATCTCAAAAAATACTTCATACCAGTATAAGGGTCCAGGAGCGTTGCTGCCTTAATTCACGGTCTCTTTTATGTTCACAGAAGTGAGACTTACCTAAGTGTTTGAAAAGAAGCTTTTTGAGGAAGAAATAGAAATCAGGTTTATTTCAAATGTATCAAATTGCTTAAAAGCTTATTTCCACTACTGGCTGTCATCTAGTAGGTACCATTGGAGATGTTATAAAAATCTGTTGTAACCACTATAAATAAGCTTGATGCCAATCTAAATTCTCATCCCCCTTTTTCACTGAAGAAGACTTCCTTGAATAATTTTCCACTGGATAATTTTGGCAAAGAAAGAGGGACAGTCTTGCCCCTCTACAAATAACAAATTATAAGGAAAAGAGATCAGCCTGTATTTCGTGAAGAATCCATGCTAGAGGCTCCAGGCTTCCACATTCATTTCACATATCCTATGCATCTTGCTCAAGACACTAAGCCACAATGCTCTGGTGACAGTTTGCCGTAAGATATAAAATAATAGAAAATTATTTTAGTTATTAGTCACTCAAAGGAGACCACTCCACACTAAGGCATCTTAACAGACATTCATGTTGCACACCTCATTCAAATGACTGGCCATGCATATGGGCTAGATCAGCATAACAGTACTCACAGGCAAAGCAGATACTGGTTTCTTGGTCTGCTCAGACTGAATTATTCAGACAGTAAATATGAGATCCCTGAGGATACTGCAATGTATTTTACTCACATAGAAACTGCCTGAACTGTATATGTCTGAAATCATTTGCAAGGCCACCCTAGTCTGAGATTTTAGTACAATATACACCATTTTTTCTTAGGCAAGCTTACATAGTAGATTTGAATGTAAATAACAGTATTAAACCAATATTTAATTACTAATTTTACATACATTTAAATCCTTTTGGAATGCAGCAGATGATGTTCATTTTCAGATACTACTTTTACAAATTAAAAAAAAAAAACAAACCCTCCAGTTACCACATAACCACAGGACACTTCCTTTAACAGCTCCTACAATTTTCAAATGTTCACTGCAGGAAAGTGTACTGTCATTTGCACAAAGAGGGAGCTATGTCTTTGCAGATCCCTCAGGGTGTCTTTATTTCTTCCTTAACAGAAGCTGAGAAAAAGATAAGCAAGAGGCTCCCAGGCATTCTGTTTCATACTAATGGCAGATACCACTACAATCACAAAGCCACACTCTTACGCCAGGTAACTAGAGGGATGAAGGAGAAGAACAACCCAGATTATTTCTTTAGTACAACAGCCTTTTGTTTGGATATTTCAACTTCAGCATGTGTAACAGATATGCCAGATGGCACCAGACGTATGTAGGAGAAAGTACATTTTGGCACACATGTTAAAGGAAAACAGAGATCTAAAGGTAACCACAAGGACTGCTAAACATGGGTACCACCAGAACTGTAATGCCTCCAGGACTTTTTACTCACATATTAAAACCAGTAATGGCATCAGAGGAAGTGTTTGCTTACAAGCAATTGCCCTGACTATGGAATACACATTAACAGATGAAGAGATCATCTCAGATCAATTAGAAAGCCTTCATGCTTCACTCCTCTTGCTAAAGTATCTGTTTTAGAGAAGTCTATATACTGATTAAGTGACACGTCCAGATGGTACTTATGTCTTATCACAGAATCATAGAATAGTTAGGGTTGGAAAGGATCTTAAGATCATCCAGTTCCAACCCCCCTGCCATGGGGAGGGACACTTCACACTAAACCATCTCACCCAAGGCTTCGTCCAACCTGGCCCTGAACACTGCCAGGGATGGAGTCTTCACAGGCTTTCCGGGCTGCAAGTGCAAACTGAAGCCAGCTCTTGTTCATTTTCTCATCGACCAAAACCCCCAAGTCCTCCTCCGCAGGGCTGCTCTGAATCTCTTCTCTGCCCAACCTGTAGCTGTGCCTGGGATTGCTCTGACCCAGGTGTACGACCTTGCACTTGGCATGGTTAAACTTCATGAGGTTGGCATCAGCCCACCTCACAAGTGTGTCAAGGTCCCTCTGGATGGCATTCCTTCCCTCCAGCATACCAACTGAACCACACAGCTTGGTGTCATCGGCAAACTTGCTGAGGGCGCACTCAATCCCACTGTCCATGTCAGCGATGAAGATGTTAAACAAGACCGGTCCCAACACCGATCCCTAAGGGACACCACTCATTACTGGTCTCCAGCCGGACATTGAGCCATTGACCACAACTCTTTGCGTGAGGCCATCCAGCCAGTTCTTCATCCACCGAGTGGTCCATCCATGAAATTGATGTCTCTCCAATTTAGAGACAAGAATGTCGTGTGGGACAGTGTCGAACGCTTTGCACAAGTCCAGGTAGATGACATCAACTGCTCTACCCCGTCCATCAGTTCTGTAGCCCCATCATAGAAGGCCACCAAATTGGTCAGGCAGGACCTCTTCTTAGAGGATGTAGGATTTTCAATTTATAATCTAGCAGATGAGACAAGGTGGTGTCCCTCTCAGCTCTGGAAAGCTGCTGGGAGATAGTGACCTTTCAAAACACAGCCCAACTTTAAAATCCACCTTTAAGGATTTACTAGAATTCAGCTATCAGATGTGTCACATGCAAAGCAGATGCATTCAACCAGAGCTTCACATGAGCAAAGGGCGTCCAGATCCACCTTACTGGTCTGCTAGTAGGCGGTCTTGTGTCCCAGCTACGTAGGCTGGCTGTAGATCTCTGTCAGAACACTGTCAGAAGATGATCCTGAGACAGCAATTAGAAGTGCAAGGAGTCACATTTAAATATATAACAAACTGAATGCTGTCATTTTTGTCTCTAATAAATACATCATAATTTAAACACATAAGGCCTTTTACCTCACATGCAAAACACGAGAAGATGTTTTTTGCTGTTCTTTTCCCCAGTTATGCTAGAAGAATTGTCTTATTGTTGGGCTCCCCCCCTTTATAAATCGATGCTTTTAAGCACAGGTGCTGAAGTGTGCCATCTCATTTCAGATGCCAGTTCAATTTTTTGAGTATAACCAACTCCATTCTTTTCAAATAGCTCCTGATAAACTACAGAAGTTTAATATTTCTTCTTTTGACTTTGCAAAGCAAAGCACAGTAGAAACTGAATTACTATTTTAAGAGACAATGTGTTTTCCCAGTATCTTTCCACCACATTCTGGCTAACAATTATGGTTAACTCAATGGTTTTACCATTCCGTGACTATCTGTCTGAACACTCCTCAGAGTATCAATTTAAGCACCAAACAGATTTTTAATGTCAGAAGAACTCAGACAACTCCATCCACCAGGTAAATTTGTCATTTCTGAGGCTTAGTAGACTCAGCATCTTATCCAACACTGACAACCTGAAGAAGGTCTGTCTGGGATGAAGAAGAAGGCTCTGCTGGCCTACAAAGAACTTGTGGTAACGTACCATTATCCTCCCCCTTACCCTCTCATTTCTCATAGTTGGATTACTAACTTCCCTGCAGCTTCTGCATAGCTGTGCTTCAGGATCATGTTTCAGGATGTAATTAGCCTTACAAAAAATGAAGGGAAAATGCTTCAGTCATTTTATTTTCCATAAATAAGCTACAAGTTATAGGGAAATCATTCCTGTAAATGGACAAAAGAAAAATTTTCCATGCTAAAAACTTCACCAAAAAAGTTTGATTTAAAAAAGTTTAATCTTTGAAAAGATTATAGGCTATAAGGACAGATACAGACTAAGAAAATATGAACTGAAGAAAAAAGCTCTAATTTTAATAAATGCTGTCTGTGTTAATCTTTAGGCTTGCCAAAATGTATTATCTCTGTAAAATAATAAATCTAAACTAAACATGCTACCTGGAAACTAAATTTCTAAATACATAAACCATAATGGAATAAAATACACAGGTTTTGTGTCTTTTGAAAACTCTCCATTTTCCTGTTCTTTATGTAACTGAAGGGGAATTTCCAGCTGTGCCCTGTCAGCCTACAGACCGAACATATTGTGCTGCTTTTCATTTTCCTTAAGTGAGCTTTTTAGTTTTCAAAGTAACAGTATTAGCTGATGCTCTGCACACAGAACAGAACAGCGCTTTGTCCCCAGGGAAAGAAGCTATTTCAGACTTAACTAAGGAATCAGCTAACATGTTTCAACAAACCCTACTGTTTCTCTGTTTATTTTAAAGATATCACTGTGATTTTGTTTCATTTGCAGCTGGAGACTAAATGACACCAAGCAGAATCTGCTGTTAGGTTAGATTACAAGGTAAAATGTTTTAAATTTTAAATTACCGCTTAAAGCATGGTGTTGAATGGCTTAAACTATGTTAACTTTGCAAATATGTATGAAATAATATTGGCTATATTTAGCAATACTGAACAGAAATGCTTTTCTAGATAAAATACGCAATACCAGTTGAGCTGCTTTTTGTTTGGTATGAATGTTTGCCATGCACTTCAAGCTTTAACTAACTGAAAGTGCAATTAGTTTTGCCGGTATGGCTAAATGTAACTGATTTCTATGCAATAAATTGAAAGAAAAGTATGTGAAAAATCTTGGTAAATCACTTTAACCCCTTGTGTATCATGACAAATAACCCTGACATCTTAGAAACATGTTTGAATTTAGACTGCATAAAGATAGATTATTGAATAAATTCTGATACTCTGGTTTTCCTAAAGGGTCACTACTTGAAAAATTAACTATTTCCATAAACATAATAACAAAATGGCAGATACTGAAGATAAACATTTTGAAAGCTACAAACTACTGAACACATTACATGATAAAAGTAAAGGTAATACTGATGCTTTCACATTCCATGCATGATTTACACATTTATGGGTAAAATTAAAAAAGGTATAGTAATGAAGCCATGTTGAGGGTATCTGGCAGTACGAAGATATAATATTTAATTATATGAACTATCAATAATTTATTTTTATACGTAATTATTTGTTACAAAAGTTGTATATGTTGAATAGGTTGAATTTCCCCCAAATTAAAAGTTGTCTGGCACTATACTAATTATAACTTCCTAATAGATAAGCTGAGGACACCAGTCCTGGGCATTAAAGGCTCAGTGCATTTAAGGCCTTTTTCTTGCACAACTTTCATGATTTGTCCCTTAAAATGTGAGACAGCACTTATTAAACAAGGCAAGGAAAGAAACTTAAAAGCATAGCTCAGAATTTTGCATACAAAGAACAGCATTTGGTTCAAAGCAGCACTATTAAGCTTTCAGTACTGAAGAGTTAACTTGGTGTGAAAATATAGCATATAAACTCACATATATGAACGGGATTAGTTTATGAAGAGATATTATTGGGGAGATGTCTGTTGTCTTTTCTTTTTTATTTGTAATTATAAAGTATTTTATGAAAGCAAGTTTCACTTTAAAAATAATTTGATTTACTGTAGTTTTACTCTATACTGAAGTTAACAGCAAAATCCTGAGACATTGTTTGTACAGTAAACATAATATATTGCATTTACTGTAAATTACATTATGTTATTCCTGACTTTTAAAAATACATAGAGAATAGAAAAGTATTTCAGTCATGCCATTATACATTACTATACATATTATATGTTATATCATGCCATGGTCACAGGAAGAAATGGTTAAATGTTAGAAAAGCCCCAATATAATGTAGTAGCATTGTAACTGCATAGCTATGGTGTTATTATAAAGTATACTATAAAAATGTGACCATAATAAGATGTCACTAGCTCAACAGAATGAGCTTTTCTTTGTATATTCAGTTTTCCCTAAGGGCTCTCTCTGTGTTTAATTCAAACTTGCAGAACAGAAGTGCACTGTGTAATTTTATAGCCAGTTATTACCACGCAAGTAAGTTAGAAACCAAAAACATTAGGTCATTGGTCCTTCGAGCTGAGGTACTAAGAAATGAGTACTTTCTGAAAAAGGACATACATCATGAATGCAGAGTAAAAGCTTTGGCATCTATCTGATATATTAACTGACAGTAATTTCTGTAAATAAATGTATGGGCAGTCTGAAGTCTATACAGCACTTTGGAATAACTGATTTCCGATGGGTGGAAAGCAGTAAACTAAAATATGGATTAATTTAAGAACCCTGCTACTACATGAGACGTCATGCGGATTTCTGAGCCACTTGCAGCTCAAATTGCCTTTATATGGAAATCAAACCATCAGCTTAGCTTAACAAAATTCTACAAATTAATATACTTGCTGTACTATTTTAAAATTAAAATAGTTGAGCACAAACCTTACAATATTAGAAAGAAATAAAACCATACTGTTTTAAGCTTATTACTGCCAACTCCCATTTTAAAACATGAGAATAAAAAAACCAAACCAAAACAAAACCAAGAATTATGCTGTGGAAAGCATGAAGACGCAAACACATACCTTATGTTAAAGAAAATTTAGGCAGCTTGGGCCAAAAACTTGACCTACTACATAAATCAGAAAATATCAAGATGCAAAAAGTTTTAAACAAAATCTGGTTCAGGGAAAACCAGTTCAAGTTCCTCAATTAATTCTTTCCTGTACTTAGACAATGTAAGTAACTATATTAAGACTAACTCCAAAGTGAATGCCTACATATAAAATCGGACTGATGAACATTAAGAAAAAGCATTTTTTTAATCTCCTCAATACTTCCTTAGAGAAATACCATGGATATACCCTAAACCTTGTCTTGGACACAAAGCCTAAGTGCTCCAAGTCCCAAGCTCCTCACTAATTCTCAACATCACAAGAATACTAGTATCTTCGCTGTCTCACTTAAAACAGGCCACAGGACAAGAGCATTTCCTTTTAGAAAAAATTCTGCCAACAGATCTATGACAAATCATTAAAAACTTCAGACATGCAAAACCTTATTTCCACTCAGCTATAGCCACTGCTGGATATGTTTTCTATGCATACTCCTGAATCTTGACTGCTCTGTTTTGGAATGCCACCTATTGGTGACAATCAACCTAATTTTTCTGTAGAACTATTAGGAAGATTCCATATAAACTTGAATTATGAATGTCTTAGAACGTAAATGCAGAACACAACCCATTATAGATCAACCTTTTTAGAATACCTATTCTTAATAAAGATTTCCGCTAGGAAATCAAACGTGGGATGTCGCAGATTGTACTATTATGGTCAAACTTCCAAAAGGTCTCCTATACTGCAGAACCAAAAAAAAAAAAAAAAAAAAAGAAATCTATTAAAGAGGAGGACAGCTAGAAATGGAAGCAAAAGCAACATCTCAATCTCATTTCATCTCTGGTGAAAAATACCTTGCACAGAAATGACATGCCAAAAGCATTTGGGGCAGCATATCAGAAATGCATTGCGCATTTTTCTGTTACTTTGCCATTCCCATGTTCAGAAGTTACAACAAACTGCTGGAAATATCAGCAATCAAAAAAGCGAAGAAACTCTTTGCAGCTTTTAAGAACACCCTTGCTGGAAGCAGTAACAACTACTGAACTGCAAATCTAAATTACCTCTTGAAATGCAACCCCAAGTACAAAGCTGGCCTCTATCTGAATTTGGCTGTTGTCTACAAGGGCACTGAACTGAACACTCAACTAAACAAACCAACTAAAATTGCTTACCTGAACTCTCAACAAGGGCAATTTCTTTCCAACAGGGAGCTTGGTTATATTGACCTACCATGTATTGGTCCACCTGCTTTTGAAAAGTGCACTATATTCTTCCCTGTGAGGGTGCTGAGGCGCTGGCACAGGGTGCCCAGAGAAGCTGTGGCTGCCCCATCCCTGGCAGTGCTCAAGACCAGGCTGGACGGGGCTTGGAGCAACCTGACCTAGTGTGAGGTGTCCCTGCCAATTGCAGGGGGCTGGAACTGGATAAGCTTTAAAATCCCTTCTAACTCAAACCATTTTGTGATTCTATGATATGACTGACATAATTATTAAAAGCTCTCCAATATTTAATTTTCTTCCTTTTTTTTTCCCCCCATTCCAGAATACTTTGAGACACACAAAAACATGCAGGCTACATCACTAGTCTATTATTTCCTGCTTGTGTCTCTGTGCATTGACTTTTCTCAAAATGAAACTAGTGCACTTCTCAGGAGGCAAAGGAGAAGAATGCACCACAGAGGACTGCGAAGGAGCTCCTCCGCTGAGCACAAGGCCCCGAGACAGGCAAGGATGAAGTTTCCAGATCCGGTTGCTGTAGTGCCCAGCATACCTCTCATTAACATTGATGATGGTGTTATGGGAGTATTTGACTCTCTCATAGGTTTGGGTGGACATGAACCTAGTTACAGTGTCTTGCCAGGTAAGAATAAAGCCCCTCTACTACTTCAGAATAGGCAGGTTTTTCTCTTGATTTCAAATGAAACTTAACTCATGAAAGCTTTATTCTAGCTCTACTTGCAACACATACTGAAAGGAAACTTACCTTTTTGCTAATCTAATTTTGTTGCCTTCTATAATAATGATGGGGTTAGCATATGAAGCTATTAATTATCTGTGGCTAAGTCCTACAGGGAACCCTGCTTTGCCAGCTTACCATTCTGCAAGTTTTCGGCATTCTCATTTCATCTTAACTAATAAAAATGTTCTTGGAATATTCTCATAATTACAAATCTATAGCACATTTGAAGGCCATTTTGAAGAATTTCTTGCTCAATACATCTCCTAAGTCAGTTAACATGTCACTGAGGCTCTAACACCAGTAACACCAGTGTTACTTAAAATAGACTTAAGTTCTTTTTGTTTGTTTTGAGTTGTATATTTGAAAAGCAGCATTCAAACTACAGCTACATGCAATATTTCAGAAATAATTATATTTTGTAAATAAATTAATAATACACAGTAATAGTTGCAATATGAAACTTACATTACAAATCAAACCCTTTTGATGGAAAACTAAGCTAAGAGAGAAAAAGCCCACTCATTCAACACAAGATCACTCTTACGCTCCATCAAGAACCCAGGTTTATTTAAAAGAAGTTCAATAGCATGATTTATATAAAACTTGCCTTTCATGTGATCTACAGGTTTCTATATTGCTGCACCAATATGTATTTTATGGTATTTGAAGGAGAGGTAGGGAAGAGTATTTGATGTCTGAAGGAACAAACAAACAAAAAGCATGATTTCATTGATCTTTATTGAAACCTGCCTTGGTAATTTTAACAGGCTTCTCTTCAGTAACCTCAAAGAATAGAAGACTAGAGACAGGCATCGAGGACTGAGAGCTGTTAAGCATCTCTTTGGTCCTTAGTGCAATAAAGGAAGACATAACTCTTGCTCTAGGATGCTTGTGATTCTATGTTCAACATCACAAATGGAAAATTATGACTCACAAACCAGAAAACTAAGATTCACAAGAGTCTAATAATCATCCATTCATTCTGAAGGTCAGAACTTCTGAATACTACTATCAGCATTTTTCAGTTTTGAAACCTGTCAACCAACTGAAAATTACTGAAATGCTGTAACACTTCATACCTTTTCAGGAAAAGAGGTTCAAAGGTTGAAGAAAAGACACTAGGGTTTTCTGAAGAACCTATACAAGATCATGTCTATAGCTAAGAAAGACTAGACACTTCCATTCCAGCACCAAGAGATCACATCACACAGAGTAAAGTCATCATATGCAATCTTACAAGGATTAAAAAAAACCAAAACAAACAAAAAACCCAACCCAAAACAAAACAAAAAAACCCCCACCAAACCCTGATTATTACTGTTCTACATAAAATAATCTATTTTCATAAGCGTTAAGCCTTATAGTATGTCATATATGAAAGACATGACCACTAGGTTAATAGGTCTCAATTTAGATGGCAAAACATATTTGAGTCACATTTTCTTAATAATTACTAATTGTTGTGAGTCCTTGCTTTCAGAAAGGCTGAACCATTTAAAGTAACATATTTTTAAGGAAGGGTTTTTAACCAGGGAAAACCAGCAAAACTCTACATAAATAACATTTCTAGTGTGTACTATAATATTACTCTTGTAATACATACTACTAATGTCAAACCTTTAATTTAAAAATATTTTTTAAATTAAGCAGAGGAAAATACCACATAAATAGCACACACTTCGTGTAAGATATTCCAGTCTCTCTGTCAGAGACCATCAGTCATGCTGAAATTATGCATGGTTCTTCCCTCCTCCCTGCCCCATTTGTTTTTTTCTATCTGGACTTGCATCCAAAAGCTGAGCTAAAACCGCTGAACTCATTTTATTTGGAACTTGATGCTGAATTTACACCATATTTCCAAAGGTTAAAAGTCCTGTGCTCATCTGCCAAGGACCTCAACCACAAGGTATTTTTCAGTCTAGCTTTTGAAGTTTAAAATATTTTCAAGTTAATGTCAGATTTGGAAAAAATGGAGCCTATTAAATAATAGAACACTATTATTAATCCTGCTTTACTACAGAAGAAAATGCAATCTAAACCTTAATTTTCATTCTCCTAGCTACTTATTTTGCTCTTAGTAGCCTAAAACACAATTTACAGATATCATATGCAGGACGAAAAGTAACAGTTAAATAGAGGTTTAACAGTAACAAGACCTATCTCCTTCCTCCATATAAAAATCATGTGAACCATTTAAATTAAAACAAAGAGTTCATCACAACAGCACGTAATTTGCAGCACTTTGTCCTTTGGTCTACAATCTGCCCACTAAGCATTGCAGAATACGATGCGCACTGCTGCACTATTTCTAATATCTTTTAATCCTCACTTCTCCCTGCTCATAATACAACTGAAGTTATTCAGTGGATAAAAGCTTCAAGGAGCACCTCCATGAAGCCTCTACTCTGTCTCACAAGGGTTTTATTGCAATGCAATAGAAAGGTACCTCTTTGCCTTTGAGCACACACATTTGTTGTGTTTTTTTAAATGAATCTCATGTACCCACAAAACAAGCTGATTTGTTAAAAGATGTCTGCAGAGGCCAAGACCTGATAACCCATATTTTTATGATTATTCAGCCAAGATTTGCCCCAACTTCAGATACAGTCTAGCAGCTAAAACAAAATAAAGAATTTAAGGAAACACAGAAGAATTTCCATCTTGAGCCAGATATGTTCCCCTGGAACAGCTGACATTTTGTTGTTCAACATGAGAAACTGTAGTGTTCTTTTTGTGTTTCCTTTGGAGATTATTTAAAAGAAATATTGTGGTTTCCTGGCAAGCATATAAAAAACAGAAGTCAGGATCCAGCAAACAGCTGGATTACAGATACCTGGGTAGAATGACAAGGGACTTCCAGCCAACTAACATTTGGCCTGGCCTAACTCATCTCTCCCCCTTCAGTTAACATGGCTTGAGTTGATTAGAGCACAGCTTTATGCAGCTGAAATGATGCATACATATCCTGGGGCTTTGAAAAAATCAAAATGCAACTGTTAATAGATAATTTCTCCCTCTTTCCATCCTCAGAGTAACAAATAAGGACTGCAGAGCAGCATCCAGCAGGATGATTTTTATAATTAATTTTTATTCTAGAAAACAGGCTTACATCCAATGGTCTTTAAACAGAAGGGTAAAGGACCACCATTGCTAAGAAGCTGAGAGGAGGACTGCCTTGAAATACTGAAATATACCTGATTTTGAGTGAAATATTAACTCCAGAGACATTTCAAACCAAATATTTACAAGAATCTTGTCAGGATATTTAGAGACTATCCTGAATTCTGTTCTAAAAACTGAATAACCAAGCATGGAACAGGTTGGAGTGTGAGAAAGCAAACCCCGCAAACAATCCCTCCAAAGACAGCTTATTGCAAATGAAAGTTGCTTGCACATAAATTTAGTTTAGATGAGAGTTTCCCACTGTATTAAATCTTCATTGGAAGGAGGAAGTCAAGCAAAATAGGAAAAGAGGACCTATTTTTATTTCTATTCAGGACAGTACGAAGTAACATAGTAATGGGATTTCAGCTTGAAACAAGCACTTCACCAATGCATTTATTAGAAAAAGAAAAAAGGAAAGGAGAATCTCATCAGATTCAGAGGTATGCTCAAAAATAGGAAAGGATTTAAATGGGATGAAGAATTTCAACTTTGGCTTTCCTTCTCTCAAAAGACAAAAAAAACCAACCAAACAAAAAGAAGCAACAAAAACTACATCCAAAACACCACCCCCCCCCCCAAAAAAAAAAAAACAACACAAAAACAAACCAAAAAGCATAATGCTAAAGTGCAACGTTTATCCTGGAGTCTGGATGAGAGCTGCCCAGGGAAACTTCTTCTTAGGTAGACTCCATCACTAGAAGGAAAGGAAGATTTGGAAGAGTTTCCTTCCAAAGTCTTTACACTCTCCAAACAACTTCCCTATTGAATATCTGAGTATAGCTTAAAGAATACATCTTGTCGATATTTCTTTCTGAAAATTTTGACTGGTACCATAGGAAATCTCAATTTTTCGTAGATTCATGTCCAGAAACTTTGGAGATGAAGTATTTACTAGCACAAGTTGTTCAGCCTTGCTGCTTTCTGAGCAAAGAGGGTTATTTCAGATAAAGCAAGTTACAGGGAAGAGGTTTGCGACCTTACAAGTCATTACAGGATGGACTTTATTTCCATTAAGCCTATGAACGGTCACTACAAAAATGAATATTGTTACCTTCCTGGTTTCACAGAGCCCTAACAAAACTTTCTCATTTAATGTGCAGTATATTAGAAAAAACATCTAGTGCACAAGAAAGAAAGAGAAGGGGGTCTGGACAAAAACATTCTGAAGTTCTGCATGACATATTTTAACTCTCTTTTGATGAAGCAAACTTTTTCTTCTTTCTCAGCTGTATCTCTGCGCATCTTTCATTGAGATCCATTTCTAAGGATGGAGAGGAAAGAAGAACTATCATACAAAACACCCTCAGAAAATCACCATCTAGGCTTAATCTTTCCATTTCAGGAGTATCTCTCAAGTTTAATAATTCAAGAGTTTTTCCAGAAGACAAAGCTTGTAAGGGTCCTCATCAGATGGCTAGGAAGAGGGAGCAGAGGATTAGAGAGACAGAGAACCTGCACACAGTTTTCACTGTGGAGCTGTAGCAGGTAATATACATGTTATTTGTGTGCCTCTCCCTTTGCCTCCATAGCTTGAGCAGCCAAGAACCAAGTAGGGATTGGAGACTACTACAAAGCACAAGAAAATGCAGTTATGAAAAAGAAGGAATAAGGATAAGATCATTAGAATAGGGTGTATTTTACATATTTTGAAAATAAGAACAAAATAGTAGTGCTTCTTTCCAATGTTTTAAATGATCACTGTTGGTTTCATTTCAGTTTAAGCTATTTAACTCCAATTTTCTATTTTCTTTTCTTAGGAAAGACAGGGCACTGCACAGCTAACGGAATGATTATGTATGATAAAGCCGTCTGGTCTCCCAAGCCCTGCATTACCTGCCTCTGTTCAAAAGGAGAAGTGATATGTGATACCACCATGTGCCCTCCTTTGAGATGTCCCAAAACAATTATACCTGCAGGAGAATGCTGCCCAGTTTGTTCTGATACTGGTATAGTACACCATAATATTTTTACTATTTTAAAACTATCTCATGCAAAACCTAACACAAATGTTACGTTTAATGATAACAAGGATTACAAAGTACATATTACCCTTTTATAGAGAAAATAGGTCCCGAATTACATAGTAAGAGCAGGTCTTTGTAATTTCTACTCAAGCTGAATTTAGCTTCTTAGAGTACACTGCATGTTAGATGAGCTTGATGTAATATTTAAAGAAATGAAGACGTTAAGTATGCAACAGTAGAAATAACCACAATTCTATTTTTTTATTTGCCCCTTTCTGCTTCTTCCCTCCTACCTTTACAAATTTTTGTAAATGTACAAAGAAAAAACATCTGGTTACATTTTATATTGCGCTTCCATTTACAATGGATCAATCAATAGCTACTAGCCACTTTTAATGTATTAGACATGCATAATAAACATCATACAGTTTACAGACTTGTATGCTCTTGTTAGGAGCATAAAAACCATGCAGTTATTTGATATAAATCATGAGAAGGAAGTCAACTCTCAAGAGGAACAACAGAACTGCAATTCTACTTATTGGTAAAAATTTAAACAAAATCATTATCTTTAAAAAGGAAATGAGGAAATGAAAGTGAAATGTGATTTCCCTCCCCCTCTCCCAGTACCCTAAGCCTGCAAAGTACTGAACTTAATCACCTCTCACCATGAAAATATTATTTAGCCTTAAGTGCATGTGTGCACATGTGACACAAAGAAATACACTGAGTAGAGACATAGAAATTAAATCTAGAACTAGAAATCGTGTTGACTGAAACAAATTCCTTTTATGCGTTCCCTTTTGTTTCTGGAGTTGCAATGAATCACGCCTATCTACAAACTGTTCTGTATGGTCAGCTCAAACATTTCTGAGTCAAAGTAGCAATATAAGACAGTGGTTTTATTCTTTCAAGTAATATTCTAAGGGGAATACTATTCTTCTATAGCTACCATATGTTTACTGAAACTTTAGTTTCATATCCTCTTATCAGACAACTATTTTTTTTTCCGCCCCTCATGGCCTCTGGTTAGCCTCCTCTTTGGATTCAAGTATTATTTCACTGGATGACATAAGTGAGTTTTCTGGTGATTCTCCAGAACCCAATAACCTTGACAACACCAGTGTATCATCATCAGCACATACTCAAACTGAAAAAGATGAACTGCTGAGAACAGAAGTGATAGAGGTTGAAGAGAAAGAGGGTCATAAAAAGGATGGAAAGAAAAGAAGACGGAAAGGCAAAAAAAATCGTCAGAAGTATAGAGCCTATCACAGAGAAAAGAAGCCTATCAGAAGAAAGGGAGATGCAAAAGAAGACATACAAGATGAAAGTGATGAAGATGATGGTACCTTCAGAATGCCATCTCATTTCCCAATTCCGGTTCCACCCATAGAAGCTCCTCCTTTGCCATCTGGATGTTCAACCTCAGACACCACAGTAAGCTGTATTAATGCCAAACTTAAACAAATACCACCGATCTCAGATCCAGATCTAACAAGTCTAGACCTTACAGGTAGATAAAAGCTTTACTTTGCATGATTTTTCTATGAATTAACATTATCCATTCTCAAATGCAGTCAACAGCAGTATTAGTACTTTGTTGCTCCTTATCATCGACATGTATTAGAGTGAATTCTAATTTCTAAGCCTCTAAAGCAATAAAAGTTAGATTTGCTTACTAGAGTTTAAATCCTAATATGAACACACAATTATTGTACACAATACAACTACTTTTGTAATATATTTTTGATGTACAGTATGACACAACTCAGATGCACGCTGTAATTCATAAATCAAACTATTTTCTTGAATTCTATCCTAGGAAATAGTATCACTACTATCTCAGATGAAGCATTCAACGGGATACCTAATTTGGAATGGATTGATCTCGGTAAAAACAATATTACCTCTCCCGGCATAGGTCCACGAGCATTCAAAGTAAGAAAGCCTAACTTTTCTACTGTCCTATGACTAATTATCGCTTAAAGGGAAGTTTTTTCCTGCTTTTCAGTCTATGGATCCAAAACAGTTTCCCCTGGTATGAGTAACCATCATATAACTACAGTACAGTTAAGCCTGGCTTTTTCAAGAAATCTTTTGTCGTATAAAGAATAGCTAAACATTTTTGAATGACATTCATCAAGTATTATATGTTAAACAATGAGAGTGAGACATTTTTCTGACATTTTATCAGCTGCAGTTGAGAGATTTCAGAATTGAAGGGCTCACATTCCGTTAACACTACCTGGGACACATAGATTTACCAGTGTTGAGCCTGAGTATCATCTTTCTCATTACATTAGCTCTGTAAAGCTTATTATGCTCTTGGATTCCCCAAAAGATTTGCCTGTGGTAGGTCTTGCTATAAAAATCCACTGAACAGTAGTTCATGTAATCAGCTATATGCTTATTGCTCACTATCTTTAATGAGAAACTTCCAAGCACTGCTGCTTACTAGAACAGCTTTCTTGTAAAATAGTCCAAGAATCTTTCTACATTCAGTGTTTTTCCTGCACTGGGAACGTACATGGTAACAGGCTGTTCCAAGTGCATCTACATATTCCTTATTTGAAGACAGAACAGTCTCATAGTAATTTCTCGTGCAAGCAAGTATGTACAGGTAGTAGTGTGGCAGTTAAGGCACCAAGGCGTTGCTTTTTCAGGCAAGATGAAACAAAAAGCATACAAATAACAAATGGAATTACCACAGTGTGTTTTACCTGTTTCCTGCCATATGCAATCAGTCTTGTAGGAGACTGCATGCCACCTCCCTCCACATAAAATGAACAGCTTTGGCCGATTTCAAGGGATTTCAGCTCCAACAACTCCACAAAGTGGACGGAAAAGACAGACCAGGAAGGTGTCCCAGTTGTGAAATAAATTTTAGTGAGGCTTACATCACAGCAGGCAGTTAAGGCAAAACTGGAAGAAAGCAGGCTTCAGCAGATCCACTGCTAAAACAACTCCACCTTCTTGAGAAATGCTCACTACTGCACAATTACTGATGTGCATTTATTTAAGCTACAATAATTCATGCCAGTACTTTAACTTGGCTGAAGTAATAAAAATCTTACGCCACTGAAAAAGTTGCTGTTATGCCTAAATAAATTTTCTGACCTACAGAAAACCATCAATTTACTCATGAATGAAGAGTACAAACACATTACCTACAAATGCATGGACTTCGAACTCCTAAATACTGCAGTGGCACAGTGAGGTAATACCTACATGACTGAAAGATGGTAGCAGTACAAACAGGAATAGATAGCTGCAGGATGGCCATGTGGAAAGTTGATGCTCTTTCAGTCACGTTACATTAACTGGCCCCTTTTGTTAATATTGAGCATAAAGCCCTCAATTAAGTAGACTGAAGAAAAAACATTTTTATTCAAAACACTGGATATTAGTGCACTGCTGCTGCAAATCTTCGAAAGCATGTGTTTAAGAAAATATGAACTATGATTACATTGTATGTTTAACCATACACTTTGCACCTTGATAATCTAAGAAATCTTCTTCTTCCCTATGATTAAGATCCTGAAAAAGCTAAAACGTTTGTATTTGGATGGAAATATGCTGGTACATATTCCATCTGAATTGCCATCAACTTTGGAGGAAATAAAAATAAATGACAACCACCTTCATGCCATTGATGAGGACGGTTTAAAAGGTATTTAGAAATTTAATATAAATCATATGAAATATATTAAAATAAATTTGAAAAGCGGAAGATTCAACCAAATGAATGTTTTTTTATAACCAGAAAAATAATTGCTAGCTTTTAAGTGCCGTGTTTTCCAAAAGCAACAAAAGCTGAAGGATTTGGATGACTAAGTTTTTTTTAAAATTACATTTTCCCTTCTTATGCAACTGCTGCTCTCCAAAGGAAGCTTCTGTTTAAGGTTACTAAGTAGAGATGGATATGTTGCACATACCTACAGTCTTACAGCTGCTTTCTTTTCCATTCTAAGTGGTCAGGAAGCTATAAAGCTCTAGTCATTCTGTAAAGTTCTACAAGCTAATAACCAGTATAATCCCATGATTATGAGATAATAAAGGAAAACCCTTTCACTATATTTCTTCATTGGTGTGAACTGATCTGAGTAATGTTTAAGACTATTAAATTTAAAACATGTATTTTAACAAGGTATGAGATGGCAGTAACTATCAGATATCTGACCTTTTTCTCCCTAGATTTAAAGAACTTGATCACCCTGGAATTGGAAGGAAATAAACTTAGTGAAGCAAACGTCAGTCCTTTGGCCTTTTCTCCTTTGAAAAGTCTCTCTTACTTGCGACTAGGAAGAAATGAATTCAGAATTATCCCACAAGGTCTTCCCACGACTCTTGAGGTAAGAACAAAACCAGCCAACCAAAAAAACCAAACCAACCAAACAAAACCCAACCATCAAAACAAGAAAACTTCATTGTTCCATCTTCATCTTTCCTCTCTCTCTTACTTACCCCACCTTAAAATCATCAGGTAGAGATAAATTTAATTTTTATAAATTTTTTTCTAGATACAGTTACAATTTTATTCCTAAATAATTACTCTTAGAAAATTACTTATATACCAACTCCATCCCAATAGGTATCTTTAAAGTTTGAATTTCTCTAGTACTGTGTCACAAAACTGTGTAGCCTGCAACTTTGTCTGTTCCATTACACATCCTTCACTTAACACTCCTAATACAGATCACATCTCAGTGCAAAACCATTATGAACTTTGAGTCACCACACAAAGTTCACAAGACAGCAACAAGAATAGTGAAAGATATAGAAAACCTGTTTTATAAGGAAAGACTAAAGGAATCAAGATTGTCTAGTCTGAAAGAAAGATGCCTGAATCTAACCATTCTCTGCCTTTTTTGGCTGGCCTAAGTCTCAATTTCCCTTGTTTTCCAAGCCTTTGCTGAATTTCACCTCATTTGGGGTAGGGGCTGGTGTTTGAACAGGAGGTTTATTTTTCTTCCTGGACAGATTCCTTATTCCTTGATTTTTAATAAAAAAATTTCTTCTTTTATTCATTTGCCATCCCATTCGTCTGCCCAGAATTTGAATGTGATTTGTTGCAGTGGTTTGTGGTTTTTTTTAGGGAAGTTTTCTGGAAGGTATTTTCTTCCTCCCTTTAAATCTCTCTTCAGTTTCATTCTCAGCTTACCTCAGTCTTTACTTCAAAAGATAAATCTTGCTACCTATTAATTTCACTATCTGTCTTGATTCTATCTTTCCCTTTCCTCTTTCTCATTTCAGCGTCCTTGTATTTATTTCCTTTTATCCTTCGGATCTTTCATAAACTGAAATGAGAGGAGGGGAAAAAAACCCAACAGCATCTTTTCTATAACTTTAGCTTCTTTTGCAACTACTGCCTGCAACTTTACTTCAGCCTAATGCTCTCCACTACCTATTCACTCACACATAACAGTTGTTTTTTGCTCCCTTCATCCCTCCTTGATGAAACAGTGAACACCTGGCAAGTTTTTGTGCATGTCATAGGCTTTGGGAACATTTAATTTTAAACCAACACTCAATAAATTCACAATGGTTTTCAGGCTATGAAGTTGCTTTCCTCTTTTCCCAAAGTCTTCATCTACAGACCCTAAATTCTATTTCAAGTCCTACATATATTCTAGCCAGTTTTATTTCACTTCATATTTATCCTACATTACAAGGGATTATCAGGAATTTAATCTCTGCATACCACAGAGATTAAAAACAATATTTTTAATAATACATAGATTGTACTTTCATACATTGCAGACTCACAACATTAAGTTCTGTAAAACATTAACATTCATATTTCTACAGATTTGAAAGTTTCAAAGCTCACAAGTGCCTAGCAAAAATATGAAGAAAGCAAGACTCTTTACATTTTTCTCACTAATAACTTTCCAAGACAAAAAATATTAACATCTTGTCACTCTCACCACTCACATTATATACTCTTACACTACACAACTTCAGGCAAGACAAAAGATGCAGCTCTTTTTCTATTTGCTCTTTCAAAGCAAGTGAGAAAACAAAACGATTGCTTTGAAAAATAGTGTTCCTGAAAGTCACACTTCAGCTACAAACTGATTCAGAAATTCTCAGATGTATCTGGCAGTATGGAGGACATGTAAAAGATGCATCCTGAATTTGCAATGGCAAGAACAGCTTATTTTGCTTTCATAAATTTTCTTTCCAAATGCACTTACAGGAGCTATACCTTGAAAATAATCAAATTGAAGAAGTGTCAGAAATTTGCTTTAACCATACAAGAAACATAAATGTCATTGTGCTAAAGCACAACAAATTAGAAGAGCACAGAATAGCACCTTTGGCTTGGATAAACCAAGAGTAAGTACAAATCATTTACACTATCATTTTCTTTTTCCTCTGTTATTAGTGAGTCAGATAACAAAATAAATACTTCCACTTCATTACTTTTAATTTGAAATTGTAATTATCTTTTTATTTGCTTGTTTTCCTTAGCTAACTTGCTTTAATTTCCTTTTCTTAAATTGTATAATCTAGGAGGTATTCAGTTGGTTTTCAAACAAAAACACTTTATGCCTCAAATCTGTACCGTAGTAACATAAGAGTATAAATATTTTTCTGACTATCCAATCAAAAAATTGATATAAATTATCAATAACATTCCATATAATATCACAATAACTTGGCATTAATATATAATTATCTCACAGATAACTTTAAAATAGTTTAATTTTTCCTAGCCTTATTTCCCATTAGATTGAAAATCAAAGTAAGATGAAAGGAAGACTGTGCAGCCACACTCTGTAAGAGTAGAATGTAAGCAGAGCAAACAACAAGAGTGAAAGCAGCAAAAAGTGGTACTGCTTTTGGTTCTTCTGATAAATTCTTTGCCAAGCTATGTAGGGTATCTTTCCATAGCCTGCTGTAGTCCTATCAATTGATTTCTGGATTTCTAAAACGCTTAATCTGCAAACAACTACACTGCTCCTAACAGCTTCCCTCATCTCTGGAAGTGAAGCATACTGGAAGGATTCTAAAGGAGCCATTCACAAAACAATTTCAAATGGGCTTTAGAACAAGTTTAAAATCCATGTCATAACCACTAAGTTCCCCTCTTATTCTGCACTTTTCCAGTGTCACTCCTTATTGTAATTAATCAATGCTTATAAACCACAAATTAGCCCCTTGAGGTTTGTTTCTCTGTTCAGCCTTCTCTCTATACTCATTACTGTAGATTTCTTCCCATCAACAGAATCATTGTGCTTCATTGATAATTAATGACTTCAATTCTTTTTTATTCCCAGAGTAATTGTACTCCACCATGTTCCAGAACATGCATTCTGTTCCGTTCACAGAAACAAATTTCCTTTTGAAATTTAGTTTCCTGGTATCATGTCAAGCAAATTTTGTAATGTAGCATTAATGATGCAGTATGCTATATGATGCAGTATGCTATAATGTTTTAATCCTCTTTCTTCCCCCCACCTTTAATGCAGGAACTTGGAATCAATTGATCTGTCTTATAACAAGTTATATCATGTTCCCTCCTATCTGCCAAAATCTTTACTACATCTGATACTTGTAGGAAATCAGATTGAAAGAATTCCAGGATATGTCTTTGGTCACATGAAGCCAGGGCTGGAGTATCTCTACCTGTCCTTTAACAAACTTACTGATGATGGAATAGATCCAGTATCATTTTTTGGAGCATACCACACTCTGAGAGAGTTGTTTTTGGATCACAACGAATTGAAGTCTGTACCATTTGGAATTGATGAAATGAGAAAACTACGTTTTCTAAGACTGAACAATAATAAAATAAGGTAATTTTCGCACTTTTCGTTACATTTTAACTAAACCCTTTTTTAAAGTAAACCTTTTTTGTTATTTTAAGTAAAGTTTTGTTAAAAAAATTTGAAGGAGGTGCTAAATCCTGAGTTTTCTACTGCAGTATTTCTGCATACGATAAAAGTGAGATTTCAGACTAATAGCACTTGAAAACACTTACACATAGTGAGCACCAGTTATCTCCGGACATTAATCTGTACTACTGCCTGGGCACATGTCTGAACAGGCAGCTAGAATCTGATAGGCACAGCAAAGCACCAGCATTTTCTGCTTTTGGGCCACAGTCCAAGCTGGTTGCAAAGGCATTGGAAGGAGGCACCAGCTGCTGCTGAACACTGGAAGTTGCCTTCCTGCAGGTTTTGGCCAGCACAGCTGTGCAGTTCATGGTGGTCTCTAGTTCCTCCATGCAGTTTACAAAGCAAAGGAGTGATTAACAGAGTATCTTATGTGCGTTGTACAGAAAGTTTTCGTTCAGCAACACGTAGCAATACTTTACTATGTGAACCTAAGTATAAATAAGTATAAACAAGTATAAATGAGAATACAATGTAAGGAGAGAATTTTAAAAAGAATGATTTGTAGATGTCCTCAATAATTACATTATTGAGAAATTTTGATGCACTGATTAAGTTAACATTTTCAAGCCTCCAAATACACAGCATCTTCTACATAAATTATGGAGTTACGAGCTATCTTGAATAATGAAAATATAATTCCTCCTACAATATCACAGGACAGTCCCTCCAGAACGCATCTGCAAGGCTCATCTCAGTGATGATGATGTTCATGACAACAGTGAAGAGGAGGAGACTGAAGATTCACATTTGGAACATGTTCATCTTGAAAACAACTACATCAATACAAGACAGCTATCACCACATGCATTTTCATGCATAAGATCCTACTGCAGTGTGGTTCTTAAACCACAGAAGAGCAAATAAACGCCCAAATTTTGCATTGCAACCTGTATCTCTAGGAACTCTATTCTCTGCTACTATCAGGTCTGCTTACTTCTGGATTTAAACCCTTCTTACTACTTAAATAAGATACAGTATATTATATACTGAAGCAAAGTAGTAATGTATTTCTTAATGCTTAATTATAAAAACATTACATGTAAAAATAGAAGCTCAAGTTTATGTCATAAATGTTTATTTCTATTGATAGAAATTCTACTTAAACACAACAGGTCAAACCATGCCCCAGATACACCCTCTGCAAGATCAGATTTCAGAAAAGAAGGACGTAACTAAACCCTCCACTTGGTCCTGTCTTACTTGCTGAACAGAGTTCAAAACATTTTAAATGGTACCACCAGCTTTAAAAATTATACAAATAAAAGTCCTTGAGCTAGGAACATTCCAGCAATGCAAGAATCAAATTGCTTAAAACATACATGGTACTGGATTTTGTACCAAATGTTCAGAGCAGTAGGTCCCATTCATTTGTACAAGGTTGCCCCCTTAGGGGATTAATTAGACTTTCTCAAAACTTTAAAATATTAATTTAGTACTTATTTGAAAGCATCTAGATAGTTTACGATCACCCCTTCATCGACAATGTTGATAAAGCAGTTTCAGTAATGCATTTGATATGAATGTCTGCTTGTGTATACAATAGTGCTTGCAAACAGATCCCTGCTTCCCAGGAAAGGAGTTTAGTCTCCTGAAGACATTATTTTACGTCTGAGTTCAAAGAAATGAAGCATTTTTAATATTCCATTCCAGATTTTAACGCTATATTCTATAAAGTGGCCAAAACGTTGATAAGAAGTAGTCAGTATTTTTAAAGAACAATTTCTACAGTCTGTTCTCTTAAGAGTGAGCTGGTCGTAGGAAATGATTACAGGTGACTGGCAGGCCACGCAGTTACTTTCACCTTTCTCCTGGGCTATTCTGTGAGTCATTATACAAAAATATTCTGTTTTCTTCAATACTACAGGTAGGCTGTTGTCGTGGTTTAAACCCAGTCAGGCAACTTGTTCACTCACTCCCCCCGCCTTTCCCTCCCCCTAAAATCAGTGATTTCTTCTTCAGCATGGATGAGAACAAAGAACAAAATGGCTTAATACAGGGACTTTTTAAAGGCATATAAAAGCTGTAAGCAACTGCATACCATAAAACCATCCAAGGATGCACGTTACTACTGAACTGTAATTTTACTGCCCTTGCTCTGGAAGTGCAGGTTTCACGACACATTTCCCACACATCCCAATCTACTGCCAACAGACAGGTCATAGAATCAGCATCAGCATCATGTTCACATAGCATTTAACAGCCAGGGATTTCCAACCTTTTTTTTTTTTTTTTAGCATGCTATAGACAGCATCTATGAACATTCTCAAGCTATACAATCACAGTAGAAGCAAAATTACATTGTTCTATCTTAAGTTCTACCTTATCAAGTAAACTCTTGCCTGCAAGACACAATGGTACTTCATCTCCAGTGAGTCAAAATATAATGCATTCCTTGTAAGAAACAATCCTAAGATACGCGGATTTCTGTAAAAAGTTTCCTTTGGGCATTTTGTTTGGAAAAGTACAGTCAGGTGTCATACTTTAGTGATTTGCTAAGGTCAGTAAAGAATGGTGAAATCCACAGGCTGAGTTTTTACATACTCCGTTGACATGATTTGATTTCATTGCCTGTGCACTTTCAACATATGATTCCTTCCTTCCGTTTCACTTTGGCTAATGTTCTGGCTAACATTCCTTTGTCTTTGTAAAACACCATTAAGCTCCCAAGCTACTGTTTTGAGAGACTAAAAAGCCTAAATTATTAAAATTAATTATTTTAGTCTATTGCTAAATAACTTCAGACCTACTTTGCAACACTGCTGAGCAGTGCTTTCAGAAACTTTACTAAGCATTTTAGATACACAGATTGATCCAAGGAGAGAGGGAAAACAAGCTGCTGTATTACACCATTTTATGCATTCTTATAATAAATTTAAGCAAAATGCCACATATTGTTGCAATTGTTTTCAAATAGAATACTTTTCTCTTCAAAACATTCAGACCTGTAAGACCCACTAGAAAATCTTCAGATTTCATGAGGTTAACACCACTAAAATACAGATGACTAAAGATTTATTGCAACCATTAACATGCTTTGCACTCCAACACGCATGTTTCCACTTTTAAGATATCACAAAAGTGAATTTTATGCAAGTAATCTGTCCAAGATTTGTCCTTTGGTCATTTACAATAATTAATATTGGTCTTGCCTGAAAGAAAGCTGTGATAAGTTGTTCCTACAAGCAGCACTAAATAATGCAACATAACCTAAATTAAAGTTATGCTAGTGAAACAGAGAGGCTAAAGGAAAAACATTTTGGAATCAGAATACAACAGTAGCAGAGGCAGAAGACCAAGAAGGAGAAAGAAGCCAAGAGGCGAAGGGTATGTCACAAACGGATGCTTATTCACTTAAGAAATACATGGACAATTAAACTTGGATAACATTTCCAAATGTCAAATGTATGCAATTTAAGTCTGTTCAGTCTTCAAATTTACCACTTACACTGAAATCAAGATGGGTTTTTATACATATATATAAATCCCCTTACTTTTTTAACAGTGAATCTCAAAGGATTTTCTAAACAAAGTAACTGGGATGAGCATTTTACAGTTTGTGACAGTAAGACACTGAGAAATGACCTGACCATTTCTGGTCAAGAAAAATAAGGGAACAGTGGCCCCCAGTAGAATAAAGATATACAAGAAAAGCTCAACATGAAAGTCCTACAGTTAGTGTTTCTTCTCTAAAAAATACGTGAACAAATAATTTTTGCAGGCTTACACTAGAAATAAACATACTTCAAGAAGGCCATTAGACTGAGAATTGAACATAGGTCTACTAACAAACAGATCTGGGCAGACGCACAGAAGTAATCTCATTTCTATGGTTTTCCAGATGCAGCTGTAGCTGCAATTTGTATTCACATATTGTATTTTGATAAATTCAAGACAGAACACGCTGCAAATTGCTAAGACAATGTCCTATCAGATTTTTTTTTTTACCATTTCAGAGAAGAAAGTATAACTTAAAGTAAGACAAAAACCTGAATACATTTTCTTTAGTAATTCAGTTGGAGACAAATGAAAAGTAAATACAAAGATGTAAGGTAAATTTTGAAACTATAAGAAAGTAAGTTATTTTAAAGTCACTAAGAGACCCAGAATAACAAAGGTTAGAATTCAACAGCCATAGAAATCCCAGAACCACCATACTTTTGGCATAAGAGGAATTCTGGAATATTAGACATTCTGTTTGGTTTCTAAGTTCTGATTTTCATTGTTGGCTCATACATCATACATAAGAATTTGGACTAGACCTGCTAAATCCTTCAGGTAGGTCCCATTATAAACTCAAACATAATAGAGACATCCTGTGGTTATCACCATATTAATAGAAAAGCTCACAGTATACACCCTTTTCCACTTTCCAGAGATCCCTCTCATGCTAAAGCTACAAATCACTCAGCTTTGCCCCCAAAGGATTTGAAGTGTGAACATTAGTTATCTAGTCACCCAAGACAGCAAAGCAAATTTCACCTAATGAATCCTCTTCTATGTAACACTATAGAGTGGCTGATACCATTTCTGAAAGTTGGTTCTGAAACATGTACCATGCCTGTGTTTACTGCAAAAATCCTCTTAGCGTTCAACAGGAAAAAAAGTCAGGACTGGGAAGCATGATTTTAATTCTCTATCAACAATTTGGTCACTGTTCTACTGAGAAATCAATGGACTTTTAAGATCTCTTGCAAATCACAACTTTATGAAGAGTTATAACCCAGCAACAAAATAATCAGTTTATAATTTTTGTTGTATAGTAATACAAATGTTAACTAGTTGAAACTCTCATGAGAAAACACTTCCTAATTTAAGTACTATCTTTATATTTTAATGTACATAATTTTTGGAGAACACAAGGCTACAGACAGCGAAATAAGAGAAATACAAAAAAAAAAAAAAAAAATCAGCAAAATAATCTTATGCAATAAGCCTGAAAAAAAATTCTCGGAGAAGAATCCTGAAGATCATAAATTTGTAGACCAGTACAATATCTGGTGCTCTGGAAGTCTGAAGCGTCCTTAAGTAAGCTTCAAAATCGCTACTCATTTGTAAGCGTAGGCACTTAAGAAAGTACCAACCAGGACCTGTCTATGCTCTCTTTGGGTTTACAGCCTAAAACCACCACCAAAGGGTCACTCCTGTACAAATGCAGAAAGCAACAACTAATGTACAGTATCCACATGTGTTCCAACTTTTAGACAACCACCCCTTGCTCAAGTTATCTATCAAGTTTTGGAAGACCAAAATTCAAGTCAAATCACCACTTAAAGGGGGTCAGAACCATACTATGACCATCTTGCAGAATGTCCCAACCACAGAGGTGAAGGCTACTTGGAAAGAGTGCATGTTTTTAAAGAGACTTACTCTGAAAGCTGGTTTTGCATGAAGGAAGTTTTTAAAGGTTTTGTGGACTGGAAACAGCAGCCAACCATGTAACCTACACTCATTTGGAAGAAACCCTGTATAACAGTCTCTTTTGAAAAGAGAAATAGGTATAAACAGTCACCCAAAAAATTAGTTCATAATAATATGTTTGACTTATTCAGCAGACATACATTCCTGTATTCTAATGAACAAAAGAGAGAGATCACTGCTATTGCTAATTTAGTAACATTACCCTTCCATTATAGCAAATCCCAAGCTCTCTATTTCAAGGGGAAAGGCTTTAATTTTACTTCTCTTGGCAAACTGAAAACCATTTTAAATGGGGAAAAAACAGCAAACATGAAATAAGAGCTCTGAGTTAATGATGTCAACAACTTCTGTACAGTTGCAAGGCCCAAAATATTGTGGGAAAATGTTGGAACACTTTTTCCATCTAAAAGTAGTGAAGATGTCACTTGAAACACTCTAAAATGTACTAAACAGATCTCCTTTTCCACATAAAGAAATGATCATACGATCAAAATGAACTTGTCCTTCTATTTTCTTAATAAAATTTTACTCAAATTTTTATACCAATTTAGGCACTGAGCAGCTATATGCAAGCAAGCATAATTTTAAGAATTTTGTTACAACTGCTATGATGACATTCAATGGAAACACATTGCTTTAATCATAGAATCAACGAGTTTGGAAAAGACCTTTGAGATCACCAAGTCCAACCATTACTCCAGGCCTGACAAGACCACCACTAAACTATATCACTGAGGGTCTCATCTACATGGTTTTTGAACACTTCCAGGAATGGTGATTCCACAACTTCCCTTGGAAGCCTGTTTCAATACCTGATCACCCCGTCTGTGATGAAAAATGTTCCCAATATCCACATTAGAAAGTCACATTACACATGTAATGTTCATTGTTAACAGACACCCTGTTCCACATTAAAATTCTGTCAGGACAGAGTCATAAAGACTTAGCACTGGTTTTGCCTTTTCATTTTAAGAAGTGAATATTAAACAGAACTTTTCATAAACACCTTCCATTACATATGGGGTAAGATGAACAAGTTGCAACAGTTACTACATCATTAAATTACCTCTGGGAAAACATTCATATACATTGTGCACCCCTGAAAGACCTTACTGAATAAAACATTTTTAATCACACCAAAAAACCATTAATGGTAAATTATCACCCCTGAAATACTCCAGTAAGTAAAGCAAAACTAACCAACAGATTTGCGAGCATTATGGTATCAACTTTTTCACACAATAAATGTCCTTATCTAAAATAGATAGTGTTTGATCAGTCTTAAAAGGAATGGCATAAAAAAGCTAAACTACCTCAGGGTGAATCTCAAAAACTAAATGAAACAGCTGTTTTAAGCCTCGCAGTTTTATTTTGCTTCAAGGAAACTAAAAGCAAAGCAGCGCTATAAATAGCAATGCCCTTTCTCCATGGAACTATTTTTGGTCACTGTCAAAGACAGGGAACTGAACTAGATGGGCTCCGATTTGATTCAGTACAGCAGTTTTTATGCTATTACGTACTTTACACATGGCCCTGCCTGAACATAATTTGTTGAATTATGAACACGGCTGCTGAACATAATTTTGCATTAAGTGCGTATGCTATCAGGCTGTGAATAAGTTAATAACATTTCCCAATACACAATCTGGTCATTGCTATGAGGTTTCTTGGAGCAACACACAATCGCCTCTTCTCTGCAGTCATGTCTATTAAAAATTCCCACCAATGAACTGAGTTTCTCAGGATTCTAAAAGATGCAAACAAAAGGGAATCTCACTTGAACAGTGAGCTAGAGGCTGATGATAACTTTACTTCTTGTCATTTCCCAGTAGCCGAGTACTATCATATGAACCCATACAGCTTACATGAATCTGTTTCAGTCACTCACTAAAAGTAAAGTTTGATCTGTATTTCCTACAGATCTGGCTTTCACTGATGCCTACAAATGGCAATCTGGAGAGCTCCCCCTTAAGCTCATTTTTACTTATTTTTACATTTTCATCTGAGGGTGGCGAGGCACTGGAACAAGATGCCCAAAGAAGTGATAAATGCTCCAGTACCTGGCAACGCTCAAAGGAAGGCTTGACAGAGTGACATGGTATAGTGTGAGGTCATGGCAGGGGGTTGGAACTAGATGATCTTAAGGTCCTTTCCAATCCTAACTATTCTATGATTCTAATTCTATGGGTAATGAGGTTTACTTGAGGCATTGATTTCAAAGCTCCATATTCAGAAATTGTAATTTTTTTTCAGCCTGGGGAAGTCCTGTGTACTGCAACTAATTGGAAAACCATATTAATCTCAAGAAAAAGGAAAGCTCTTTTATGTTCCCCAGATTGCAGGCTCCCTTATAAACATTAATTTCTTTGGGAGGGTGAAAAAATACGCAAACTATGCTGGATATTAGGAGCCAGGGGAAAGTGCCTGAACATTCCTTAATTATCATACAGTTCAATAACTGTTATGCTG